TATTAATGTCAAATGATGTACATCACTGAGGATTTGTAAATTGAGGATTTCAGAAGAGGGCATCCTCATTCTTTATTAAATAGGCTAGTTAACCTTCTAATACTCTACCACTTGGATCTGAGCCTGTAACTTTACCTGGACAAATGCAGGTCTGTGTTTTTAAAACACCATAATTATCTCAGGAAAGCATCTCTTTCATCAGAGCATACAGAAGGCCAGTTGATAGCCTTCTGTGGTAGCAGTGACTTCCAATTTTATTTTAGAAAAAACAAGTTGAATGGATCTCACCTTGTGAACTATGGTTCCTACCCCTACTGGTCCCACTGAACAGTATAGCTGCCTCCATTCATCAGTAGTGCGAACAAACCCTGATTTGTGGTTTTCCCTGCCAGCCAGATTGTCCTTACTCGTGGAAGGGACAGAATAGATACACTCACCTCTGCCAGGTGTGGCCCAGGCCCTCATTCCCAACTGCAGTCTTTTTGCCCATAATCTACTTGCCTCCCCCTCCAACCATCACAATCAGCTACATTTAATTCTATTCAAAGGAATTTAAAACATCCCTACTTCCTCCTGAGACATGGGACATAGCGCATTCAGCTTGCATAGCTGGTAGGGCAGAGACGCAGAAAGAAATCCCTCCCAGAGAGGAAAAGAAGGCCAGCAGCACATTTTTCCAGGGTACATGGGAGAAAAGCAAAAATTCTCAGCAATATCATTGCTAAAAATTGCCGTGCAAGAATGAGCACAAAAGGAACTTAGGACTATCTGAAAATGGCTCTGACAGCCTCTAAATCAGGGAGAACCAGTGTTTCCCAGTCTCTCTCGCCACTCAACGCAATGCTTCTGCCATCTGACATGGGGCGGTGGTTTCCCCCCCACACCAACAGAGTCATTCATTCTTTGGCAGACACAAGCTGGGTGTCCCCTAAGTCAATTCCATTCTGACACTGTCTGGCTGGAGGTAGTGTCAGATCCCACAAGTTGAAGGCTCCATCATAGAAGACTTCAACTTTACATGTCAGTCACAAGCACAGGTTGTGACCAGCTATAAAGAGGGGTTCCCACTACTCCCCACTCCCAGCCTTGGGGTTCAATTAATGTGCTAGATCTATCCACAGAACCCAAGGAAACACTTACCTTGCATTTACCAGTTTATTGTAAGGGATATTACAAATGATACAGATAAACAAGCAAAGAGGTAGGTGGGACAAGATGTGTGGGAGGGAGAGCAAAGGTCCCATGCCTCTCCCAGATGCACCAGCCTCCAGAAACCTTCACCTGTTCAGGTGTCCAGAAGTTTCCCAATCCTTTTGTGTTTTTATGGAGGCTTCATTACAAAGATAGACATGCTTGATTACATCACCCGTCATTGGTGATTAACTCAACCTTCAGCCTCTCATCTCTCCCCAGAGGTTGGGAGATGAGGCCAAAAATCCAATCCTCTAAGTATGCCTTGGTCCTTCTGTTGATCAGACTCCATCCTGAAGTTATTTAGGAGCTCCAGCCGCCAGTCATCTTGTTAGCATACAAAAGACATTTTTATCACTCCAGAGATTCCAAGGGTTTTAGGAGCTCTGTGTCAGGAAACAGAGATGAAGATCAAATATATCTCTCAAAATATTGCATGGCCCAACACAGAATTCCATATCGGCATCTAATCCATCAAGAATAAGAACATTTGCAATATGTGCAAGATCAGCAGGCTTTGACTATGTAGGGAAAGAAATCTAGACTAGACTAGAAAAGACGCAGTTCCCATGGCCTCCCCTACCACCCTTGGGTCACTTGGCAATGATTTTCTCTTTACTATGGACAGGGTACATGCCTTTCTCTTTTTTGTTTCCCAAGCATCTGAGTCATAACCGGTGCCTAATGTATGTTTCCATGAATGGAGTAGTGAATAAATGAATCCATCTTCTCTGCTTACTCAGGTTGCGAAGGGTTTTCAAGTCCTTAATTAAGAATGGATACATACATGCAGAGAGACGCAAGCATATCTTGAAGTTCAGTCATTTTCAGAAAATACTTCTGTCAAATTCTTGAAGTTTTACATTCTAGACATTACCATTTGTAGATACACAAAAGTCAAGATTCTGAATCCCAGAGTGGGGCAAAGTAGATAAGTGGCATATTTCACCAACTGTAGTTGGAATTTCCCTTTGCCAATCAATAAAGGAGTGCAAGGTGAGAACTGTGGTAAGGGGGCCTAAAACTCTATGGCCTAGCTGAAAATAATGGTAAATAGTGGGCAGTGCCTGTGGCTCAAAGGAGTAGGGTGCTGGCCCTATATGCTGGAGGTGGTGGGTTCAAAAAAAAAAAAACCTGCAAAAGAAAAAGGAAAATAACAGTAAATAATAATAACAATAATGAGTCACTGTCCCCTAGCTTGCTTGATAATAATCAGACCTATCCCTGTTTTCTTCTCCATAATTGCTACTCCAGAGTCACATAGCTGGCAGTCATAAAGATTCTTAACTTCCTTTGTAGATAACAGAACCTTTTCAAAATCTTAAGGTAGTTTCTGAGATATCTTCTAGGCCCCACATTCCAGTGGAACAGCTGACCCACTGGAACCAATGGCCCATACTAAGGAACTGACTCAGCTGGTCCTATGAGCCCCCTACCCAAGAACTGATTCAGCAAAGAAGACAAGTTCTACACCCCTATGGTTCGTCCCCAAACCCAGCCAATTAGCAGACCCAGTTGCCTACCCTTTTCCCATCAAACTGTCCTTTAAGACCCTTTCTCCTGGACAGCGCATGGCCACATACACCGGGGCTGGCGGGTTCAAACCCAGCTCAGGTCAGCTAAAACAACAATGATAACTGCAACAAAAAAAAATAGCCAGGTGTTGTGGTGGGAGCCTCTAGTCCCAGCTACTAGGGAGGCTGAGGCAAGAGAATCATTTAGCCCAAGAGTCTGAGGTTGTTGTGAGCTGTGATACTACAGCACTCTACCTAGGGTGACAGCTTGAGACTTTGTCTCAAAAAACAAAAAACCCTTTCTCCCAAATTTTCAGGGAGATGGATTTGAGTAATTCCTCCCCCTGATCACATGGCGCCTATGATGGTAAACCCTTTCTCTGCTGTAGCACCAGCTGTCTCGGCGCCTTGGTTGGGCAATGAACTTGGCTGGGCCCTCACATTGTTTTATAAGATCTGATTCTGTTTCAGTATGTGGTATTTTACCATAGCACTTGGACTCAAGTGTAACTTTTCAACCTCAAATGCTAATCCTGATTCATTGTATGGGGTAAAAATTTCAGATCAGTCTCTATCTATGCCAGAGAGTCAAACAGCTTGAGTTGCTGGGGTTTCAGGAGGAGGTGGGGCCCCCAGTGGCTGACCCACCGAGGCCCCTCAGGCACCTACTGCACCCACAGCCTTAGCCAACATGGGCGCTCAGGCTGTGCAGTCCCACAGCTCCCCACAGTGCATATCGTCACCTGCCTGCACCTCCCGTTCCATTCCTTCTCTTTCTCTTTGTCTTTTCCTCTCCCTTGCTTTTCTGTCTCTCTTTTCCCTATGCACAGTCCTCACCCCTTCTTCCTCCACTGAAGGCTGGTGCCGGCAGCCAAGACGGGTTCCCTTTCAGAAGATCATGGTAAGGGGGCTGGCTGGGGTAATCTACCAGCAGGATGGCAGAGGAAAGTCATTTACCCACCAGCTCTTCGAGGGATCAGCGAATACCTAACACTGCTGCTTCTTAACCCCATTTTAGGGACTTTGGGCAGAAACTTTCCCAACTCCTGTGCCGCCCCAGCCATAGCTAGCATCCCAAGAATGTATGGTAGAGAAAGACGGAATTGAAAAATCAGAGTTGACATAAACATTAATTATTACTGCAAGGATAGGAACATTTTCTGTTCCCAGAGTGGAAAGAACAGTGGTGAGAAGGTACTGAGGACAAAGCACTGGGGACCTCTCTGTCAGCCCTGGTTTTCCTGCCAGTGACCTCAGCAGACAGATCGGCCCCTGGAGAACTTAGAAAATGCTGATGCCTGGGTCCTACCCTCAGAAAATCTGCCGCAATTGGTCTGAGGAGTGGCCTGGCATCAGGATTTTTCTGAAGCTTCTCAGTCAACCCAATGTGCAGAGGAGACTAGCGCTCACTGGCTTCATCAAGTGAGACTTTAAGGATTAAAAGAAACCAGAGCGAGAACCTAGGTCTTCCTGATCTGACAAATAAGGGAGGAAGGGAGGCTGTGGCTGTTTACTGAGCATCCGTGGGGCATGGGGCACTTTCTATTTTCAAATATGTGATCTCATTTCGTCCTGACAATGCTCCTATCCAGTAAGTGATTGCTGCTTCTCACGTACCAAGAAGAAACAAACTCAGAGTTTCCGTCTCTCCCTCGCTTGGCTCCACTTTCCCCTACGTTAACCTCTCTGTAAATTCATGTATTCCTTTTGCCCACAAGTTTTTATTAGAAACATGTTCTGCGCCAAGATAATACTGGGCACTGGGCACAGGGAGAAGAACATGAAACAATGAGAGAGATTATACGCAGAGCTATGAGCTGATTCCTCAGTTTATATTTTGCTGAACCTGAGGACTTCCCATCATGTATAATTACATGGCTTCCCTGATAGGCCTCTGTCTACTGTGATGGTTGTTGATATCTTAAATAAGAATCATTAAAGCATTACTTGTCCCTGACCTGACCACTGAGGCTTCAATGGCCAGTGGAAGTCCAGGGTCGTTTCACATCCTGTGTGTTGTTCATTCTTCTCCTCTTCACATACAAACATTGTCTTTTTTCCCATGATTCTTATCCAAATCCTACCCATTAGACAGGGCAACCTCAGAAACACTTCCTTTCACAGACTTCCCTCATCTCCCTAATTGTTTTAGCATTTTAGAAGTTTTATCATTATCTTAACATCTAATTAAATTTTTTTGGATTGTTCTTTATTGTGATATAATTTATATGTATTAGATAAGAAACTTTTCTTGGAAAAAGTATCCAATGGCTCTGCCTTCACGCGTCCCTGTGGCAGCAGCTCTGGCCTTGACATGCAGAATGACGCCGGCGAGTTCGTGGACCTATACGTGCCACGGAAATGCTCCGCTAGCAACCGCATCATCGGTGCTAAGGACCACACATCCATCCAGATGAACGTGGCTGAGGTTGACAAGGTTACCGGTAGATTTAATGGCCAGTTTAAAACCTATGCTATCTGTGGGGCCATTCGCAGGATGGGTGAATCAGATGATTCCATTCTTCAATTGGCCAAGGCTGATGGCATCGTTTCAAAGAATTTCTGACTGGAGAGAATCTGGGATGTGGAATGAATGCCATAAATAAATAGTGAAACCCACAAAAAAAAAAATAAATAAAAAGTATCCAATGTACACAGCCCTATTATGAAACTAATTTATAGCTTTCATATAAAAGCTATAACCTAATTATAGCCTAAGAATATGGGGAGGGGGGTGAGGAGGGGAGGGGAGTGGATGGGTGGAGGGAGGGTGATTAGAGGGATCACCTCTCTGGTTTGTCTTACAAGGATACAAGTGAATCTTTCTAAAAGTAGAATATAAACGTCTTAACACAGTAACTAAGAAAATGACATAAAGGCTATGTTAACCAGTTTGATGAAAATATTTCAAATTGTATATGAAAACACCACACTGTACCCCATGATTGCATTAATGTACACAGCTATCATTTAATAAAAAAAAAGAAACTTTTCTCAGTATTTTTAACTATATATGTAAAGCCAAATGATAAATCAAGTATAGTAGTTCGACTCTCCCCTCTTATATTAAAATATATGTATATTTTATATATATACACACAAACCTTAAGCTATACCTGAACATTATAGTTCAATAAAATCTAAGAACATGTGGGATAGAGGACACCATATAATGGCTGCACTAATTCTTATTTAACTAAATAACCAATGTTCTAGTTTTTTAAAACAACATTTTAATGGGATGAAGTGTATGATTAACTTTCCTTCTCAACCCCTCTCCCACAGAGAACTCTGTGTCTGTTGAATGACTGACTGTTACTACGTATTCGGCATTCATCTCCTGACACCTATTTTTGTTTTGGTTTGCTTTCTATTATGTTTCTACTTTTTTTCTCTCTATCAAAGCTACATAAGCACACACACACACATACATATATATGTGTGTGTATATATATATATATATTTTTTTTTTTTTTGAGACAGAGCCTCAAGCTGTCCCCCTGGGTAGAGTGCCATGGCATTACAGCTCACAGCAACCTCCAACTCCTGGGCTCAAGCGAGTCTCCTGCCTCAGCCTCCCAAGTAGCTGGGACCACAGGTGCCCGCCACAACGCCCGGCCGTTTTTTGGTTGCAGCCATCATTGTTGTTTGGAGGGCCCAGGCTGGATTCGAACCCTCCACCTTAGGTGTATGTGGCTGGTGCCTTAGCCACTTGAGCCACAGGCGCCGAGCCCATAAGCATATGTTTTAAAAAACAAGTAGTTTTACAAAACATATTAGAAAAAAAGACGAGCCCCCTGCTCCACCAAAGACCCTGGGTCTGAGTTTCTGACTGCACAAAATAGAATTCAGGAGACACTAAGGAGGGACTACCAGTGAAAGACGGGGGATTGAACTCATGTGATCAGGACTCTTCTCCCCAGAAATACCTCTATAAAATGTTGAAACAGGCAGACATCCACAGGGATAAAGAGAACACAGGAGGAATTGAGAGCTACACCGTTTTAGAAACTAAAAAGCAGAAGAATGTATGGCAATTAAATTAAATTAGCAGTTCTGAGAAAATTAAATCTTTAGCCAGCAGGGAAGAGTCACGATCTAAGCCAATTCTTACCACAGGAACAATCTCAGAAAGTCTTAAGAAATAAAAACACCATATAGTTCTGGAATTAGTGATGAACTGGGACTAGAATCTGCAAGGTCAGTCGAAATTCTGTTTTAAAGCCAAGTTGCCTATCCCCTGCCTCTTTGGAACGTGAGCATTAGTCTTTTTCCCACCTCAGCAGAAGACTAGATAGGTTTAGTTTTTAATAAGGGGCCTGAGAGACCCCAGGCACAATTGAGCACAGGGATATTACACTGAACAGAGAGGGGTTACAGGACCAGGGGCAGACCTCCTGCCCCACTTAGCCAGAAAGTTGCACACGGCATCCTTTTGTTATTTTCATGATGTGTGTAGTTACGGGCACAGAGAGAGGAACATGAAACAGTGAAAGAGATTATAGGCAAAGCTATGAGCTGATTCCTCAGTTTATAATTTGCTGACCCTGAGGACTTCCCGCTTTCATTCCTAATGTGGTAAATTTATATTTATTTTTGATCAATCTTGCTAGGGGGTTATTAATTTTTATAATCTTTTCAAAAACCAGTTCCTGGCTATCTTGCTTTCTCTTTGTTGCAGTTCTTTCTTTTTTTTTTTTTGAGACAAAGTCTCACTTTGTCACCCTCACTAGGGTGCAGTGGCATCACAGCTCACAGCAACCTCAAACTCCTGGGCTTAAGCAATTCTCTTGTCTTAGCCTCCCAAGTAGCTGGGACTACAGGCACAACCATGATGCCTGGCTATTTTTTGTTGCAGTTGTCATTGTTGTTTAGCTGACCCAGGCTGGGTTCGAACCCCCCAGCCTCTGTGTATGTGGCTAGTGCCATAACCACTGTGCTAGGGGCGCCGAAACTCCTTGTTGTATTTCTCCTCGCTATTTTATTGACCATTATTACTTTCTGCCACCACTTTCTTTGGGTTTAATTTTGCTTCTCTTTATCTAACTTAATAAAGTGAAAGCTTAGGGCATAGGCAATGGTTTTAAACACTTCTTTCTCTCCTTCCTTCCTTCCTTCCTTCCTTCCTTCCTTCCTTCCTCCTTCCCTCTCTCCCTCCCTTCCTTCTTTTTTTTTTTTCTTTGACAGGGCCTTACTCTGTCACCCTAGGTAGAATGCATCATCATAGTTCACTGCAACTTCAAACTCCTAGGCTTAAGTCACCCGCCTGCCTCAGTCTCCCAAGTAGCTAGGACTATGGTAACTGCCACCACTCTCTGCTAAGTTTTTAAAATTTCTTTGTAGAAACAGGGTCTCAGCTTGGCCTGGTGGCTCATGCCTGTAGTGCTAGCACTTTGGGAGCCTGAGGCAGATGGATTGCTTGAGCTCAGGAGTTTGAAACCTGCCTGAGCAAGAGTATGGCACCATCTCTACCCCAAACAGAAACAGCCAGCTGGATGTTGTGGGGGGAGGCTGAGGCAAGGGAATCTCTTGAGAGTTTGAGGTTCCTATGAGCTATGACTCCATGGCACCACATTCAGGGAGACAGAGTGAGACTCTGTCAGAAAGAGGAGAAGGGAAGGGAAGGGAAGGGAAGGGAAGGGCAGGGAAGGGAAGGGAAGGGAAGGGAAGGGAAAGGAAGGGAACCAGCATCTTACCATGGCCCAAGCTGGTCTTCTTTTCTCATACACAGAGCAAATTCTGCTCAGTGTACTGTTCTAGCTTCATTCCATGAGTTTTGATAATGTGGCATCAACATTATCGTTCAGTTCAAAATATTCCTCTTTTCTATTGTTATTTCTCCAGTGTCCAGTCCACTTTAGAAGCTTATTAGTTAATTTCCAACATTTGGGGATTTTTATGGAATTCTAATTTAGTTCCTTTGTGGTCAGAGAATACACTCTGCATGATTTAATTCACTGATACTTGCTTGATGGTGCTGTATGAAGTCCCTTTTGGTAAATGTCATCTATGTACTTGAAAAGAATGCACATTCTACAGTGGTGGGTCTGGTATGCTACACACGGCCATACACCAAGTGGGCTCTTCATATGGTTCAAAACTTCAGTATTCTTGCAGATTTTCCTGCTCACTCTGTCAACTATTGTGAGACACATGTGTCTTAGCCTGTTTAGTGATGCTATAAACTGCAGTGGTTCTCAACCTTCCTAATGCCACGACCCATTAATACAGTTCCTCATGTTGTGGAACCATAAAATTATTTTTATTGCTACTTAATAACTGTAATTTTGCTATTGTGCTTTTCGATGGTCTTAGGAGACCCCTGTGAAAGGGTCATTCGACCTCCAAAGGGGTTGCGACCCACAGGTTGAGAACCGGTGCTATAAAGGGATACCTGAGTCTGGGTAATTTGTAAAGACGTTTATTTGGCCTGTGGTACTGCGGGCTGTGCCGGGGCTGGCGTCTGCATCTGGGAGGGCCTCACGCCACCTCCCCACACAGCAAAAGGCACAGGAGAGGCAGTGCGGGCAGAGAGCACATGTTGAGAGAGGAGGAGGAGAGGGGCCAGGCTCTTTTTCAAGCCGCTCTCACAGGAACGAATAGAGGGTTAATTAATTTATTACCACAAAGATGGCACCAAGCCATGCAGGAGGGATCTGTCTCCATGACCCAAGCAGCTCTCATTAGGCCCTGCCTCTAAGATTGGGGATCAAATTTCAACATGAGATCGAGGAAGACAAACATCCAAACTGCAGCACTACGTAAAAATGTACCTCAGTTACTTTAAAGTCCTTGTCTGCTAACTTTAAGATCTGCACCATCTATTGGTCTTCTTGTTTGGTTTTCTTCTCGTGATTCTCAGCCACGTATTTCTTCTTCTTCTTTGTATGCCAAGTAATTTTTTTTTGACACAGTCTCACTCTGTTGCTGCAGGCTAGAATACTGTGGCCTCAGGCAGGCTCACAGCAATTTCAAACTCCTGGATTCAAGTGATCCTCCCATCTCAGCCTCCTGAATAGCTTGGACTACAAGTGTTTGCCATAATACCCAGCTAATTTTTTCCTTTCCTTTTCTTTTCTTTTTCTTTTTCTTTTTCTTTCTTTTCTTTTTTTTTTGAGACAGAGTCTCACTCTGTCGCCCTTGGTTGAGTGCCATCATATCTCACAGCCACCTCAAATTCGTAGGCTCCAGAGATCCACTTGCCTCAGCTTCCTGAATAGTTGGGACTATAGGCACCTGCCACAATGCCCAGCTAATTTTTCTAATTTTAGTAAAGATGAGGTTTCCCTCTTGCTCAGGAGACTCTTGAACTCCTGAGCTTAAGTGATCCTCCTGCCTCAGCCTCCCAGAGTGCTAGGATTATAGGCATGAGCCACTGCTCCAGGCGTGGCAGGTAATTCTACAGCAGACATTATATATGAAAGAACTGCAAAGGGGCCACAGAGCAGAGACTCCAATTCATAATCAGGCACTGAACTAGGTCAGCAATGGATCTCTCTTGGTGAGACTCATTTTACTTCACTTTTTTCCTTGGGTATGACCCACGCCTGCTGCATTCCTTTCTCTCAGCCTTGACAAGCAAGGAGGTGCATTTCTTCTTTTTAAAGGTTTGGACCTAGTTCTTTACCCTCCTATTTCCAT